TCTAGATTTTAGGGATGAAGTGCGAATCCCAAGCTATGGCCAAAGAGGGAAGTAGAGGCGTGCTCGGGGACACAAAGAAAAATAGACGGATCCCTTCAGGATTTCCATTCTGTCTAGTGTATATATGTATGCTTGCTTTCATATTTTTATGCATGTCTATCGTTTCGCGCGCATATTCAAACGATTTTTGCCAACTCAATCGGCTCATTTTTGTTTTGGTACGAAATTTCGTTTCGCCGTCATAATTGCCCCGCTGTGCTACGAAAATCGCGAGAAATTTGAAGGAAGGTGTAATCTCGCTGTGGCACCTCACTATTCACCTCAACCAAATTTTTCAAATTGGTTCACAGTTCTTTTCCCTTCTTATTAATATACGTTCTTTGGCAATACTTTCGTATTGTCTTCTTTACAAGACGGCTACACGCAAATGAATGACGCAATAGGGTGGGCCTAATGATGACGAGTCCTTAAGTATCCAAATAAAATTGTGACCCTTCCCTCGCGATTTCGAAAATTATATAAGAAATTGCTAAATATTAACGCCACGTCATTCTTAGGTATACCGAATTCTTCGAAGACGGCGAAATTTTGCTTGTCGATTCGTTGAATATATATTTACAGATTTATATATTATATATACCTATGTACATATGTATATATTCAGGTGAGGTTAATAGGCAAACACAATTCAAAATATTCAAGAGAAGCAAAAGTTCAAAATATTTTTTTAAACGATTTCCTACAATTTTTCACAACTACGAGTGCAAGCGGCGCTAGTAGAAGCAAGCGGCGCTAGTAGAAGCTCTTAGTAAACGCGTTGCAACATACATAAATAACATAAGCACACCTGCGGTGCACTTAAGACGCCCGATAGCGTGCCATAAGCTCAATAGAAAAATAAAAAATAATTTTCAAATTTCAACAAAAAATTTCAAATTAATAATGAAACCAAAACTGCACTGGGGCAACAGGCTGTCTGCCGCTGTGGATTTTTCCAACCAATGCAGTTAAAATGGAAAGTGTGCTTGCAAAAACAAACATACAAACATACATACAAACGTATTTAACAAAGTGCTTATATTTTCCCGTTAAACATGTGCATGGCAAATCTGTGAAAAATATTAAAACAGCTTGACGAAACTTTGAAAATTTATCTGCGAAGCGAGCTGGTTGTATACCCCTCATTAAAAATAAGAACTAGGAGTAAATTGTGAATGGTTCTGCCAACGGCTTCCATTCTTATTACATTAATTTCTTTGAAAACACTTGGGACCCTTAGAAACGGAGACTTTCCCGAACCTACTTTGAATTGAGTTGAGCGCACCAATGCCCATAGGTCCATTGGGATACCGCTGTGAGGCTCCGGGCTGCACTTTTCAAATGTTCGAACCATTTGGTGTGTCTTTTAGCACTAACGAGATTTCCAATTTTCGCTGAAGCTAACAAAGCGCGACAGTCGAAGAAATGCTTTCCGAGGAATTTGTGTCTCGCAGATGTGAAGGCTGGACAGTGGCTGAGGTTGTGCTCGATGGTCTCCTCCTCTTCTTCGTCCTTACAGCTGCGGCAAATATCATTAGAGTGGTAGTCCTTTCTTTTGCCGTGAAACTCCATTAAAAAGCTGCCTGTTATTATGCCTGAAGTTAAGATAATGGTGAAACGGTCTAGAAGGATTAGATGTTTTGATTTTTTCGCATCCAATTTCGGCCGCAAGTGTTTGGTCATGTTACACGTGATCTGATCCAGCTATTTTCTTTTGACAAAGGCCAGTTTAAGCATAATTAAGTTAAGCAACAATTTGCCGTAGACAAAGGTAAATCTGCATGTTTTATTGTGGATAGCAACATTTGCCATGCAATCGTCTTGGATGCCCGGGTACCCAAAACCTCAACAGTGTTGCATTCAGTCGAGAGTTTGTTCAGCTTGATTATATTATAGAGATTTAATGGCAGCTTGAGTGACTGTCTTGCTGCCGTAGATTTGAGCAGCCACACGACGACTACCATGATTGCAAAGAGCTCTGCTTAGAAGAAGTTGCAGTGGTCTGGCAGTCTGATGTTCATATTTATAGAGAGCATGGGAGAAATGGATTGCGCAACCCACTTTTCTAACGAGTTTCGAGTCATCTGTAAAGATGATAGCGGGTGTTG